ATCCGAATACAGTACATTGTATTGTTTCTTCGCACATATCTTAAAAATGTAATTATGTTTTTTGTATATTGGAAAAATTTGTAATATGTGATTTGCATAGTAATAGAAATATGCATACTAATGTATTTTTCTTTTGTAATAAACGAATATGTCAAATATAAAATATAAATAAAAACCAAAATAATAATAGCAGTAGAAGTAAGTTAATAATAAAACTCTATAATTTAATTACACACGAAGAAAATCTGAATCTACGTTATTAAATTACAGTTTGTAGAAAAACAACAAGCAATTTGACATAATAAAAAAAATTGCTGAATTTAAATTTGAGTTGGAAAAAAATATTCGGAAATTATTGAGAAATTTTCGTTTTACAGATTAAATTATGTTAAAGATATAACACTATAATTCTGTAGGCTACTAAAGACTAGTAAAACAATAGTATCATTTTATAATGTTTTGTATTTTAACAAATATTTTTTGTTATTTGTGTGAAGAAATAATTTCATTTGAATCATTTGTATTTTATATTAGAATATCAAAATAATAATTAAAATTATATTTCTTATTATACAAAAGATTCTTATAGAATGTATATTATATTTACCAGAAAAGAAAATGGATGAATTATTGCTGTTAATTTTGATAGTTCTGCTGGTTTAGCAACAATGAATCTGACTACATCTACAGTAATAATACCAGAAACATCCATATATTTATATCCACCATAACTCTGAGTAACTGGCATGACAATGTCAACTGACTAAACGACAATATAAAAAGACAATGAAAAAGTATAAAATACAACAATACTATATAATCCAATAAATTATGTATCATACCTTATTTCTGAGAAAAGTGGAATTTTTCTCTTATCTCCCGTTTTAATTTCATAACTAATAAATATATTTATTATAAATTAACGAAATGGCGAGTTATGAAATTATTTATATTTTAGATAATAGACATTTTATTTTTCTAGAATATACATAAAATATCTTACTTGAATCCGAGATATTCGACAAGAAGGAGAACGACTCTTCACACCAATCCCGTATTTATGAACTTCTTTTTAGTTTCATCTAGATGAACTGCTCCAGGAATCTTTAATAAGACAAAAACATTGTATCAGGAAGTTGATAATATTTATCTTACAATATTGTATATTTACTGTCTACCTACTCCTATGTAAGAACTAGATCTATCCGTGTGGGCCACTTTTGCTTTTCACTTATGTTTAAATTTACCTAGTGAACATTTGTCGATTTGATGTCAAGTTTCATGTTGTCACATGTAAACTCATTTGCAATACGTTGTCGAAAAATTAGACGAAGTTTGATAATAAAACGTTTATTAAATTCTGTTGACTTCTTTTTTTCATAGCATTCATGTTTGTTGTAATTCTACTTCAAACTAATTTTAATTGCGCGCAATAGCTAAAAAAAAGTAAAAAAAAAAAAAAACGTAACGAAAAAGAAAAATTAGTAAACAAGCAGATTTTTAACAAATGAAATAAGCAAAAATTGTTAAAAATTGAAAAAAAAATTTAGCTAAAAAGTTAAATTCGATAATGTAATTTCGGCGTAAAAATTTTAGTACTTCATATCAAGGATTTCCTGGAGTAACTTATCAATTTAAATTTCACCTAAATTTTCATTTAGAAAATTTCTAGTGATTTAAATATATTACAAATATAAATTAGCAAACTTTTAGATGATCTGTATATTATAAATCAAGATACGAAAATCTGAGAAAAATCAATTCATTTCAATGCAATCGTAAAGATCGATTGAACTCTAACGAAGTCGTACTTTGCGCCATCTTTTCTCGTTGATCATTGTAAAAATTGATCTTATTTATCTTTTTACGCACCGAATTCTAAAGTATTGTTTGTGTCAGGAGCTAGACCGAAATGTATTCTATTTGCAGGCAAAAGTGATTAAAATTGGTTAAGCAATTTTGGAGGAATTACCGTTGCACAAACTTCAAAGTCCTCTCTAAGAGATTTTTGCTTCGCTTCGCCCAATAATATCAATAAAACAAGTACATTATTTAACCTTTTGTGATATACATTATTAATATGAATGTATCATTAATAGAATTAAAGAATAAATGTATAAACTTTTAGAATTAATTTTAACGATAGAATGAAAAAACGTATTTAAGAAATATATCATTACCTCAATAGGAAAAATAGCAAATGTAACGTTCTGTAGCGCATTCTTCATTCTTTAAAGACAGTAATTATATAAATTTTTATAAACATTTGTTAGATAATATCTTTTTGCAAAAATTAGTAGTATAATTTATAATGATAAATAAAATACTTAAAATGTATTTACCAAGACAATAATTTCGATCATTTATTTAAAATAACGAACTAACTTCAACAAAATTATAACAATACAATAAGTTACAGTAAGTTAATTTTATATATTTAGGTTTTAAATATACCCTTTCTACTGATTGAATTTATCGGATATTTTGTTCAAATTTATAAATACCATTTTTTAATCTGAAAAATAAAACTCTTTGTAACAAATCGAAAGTATCAAAAAACGGCAACTTTCATAGAACTCTTATTGATCGAAAATGTTGTAAAATTTGAAGTGTTAAAGCTAGCGACTTTTATTATAAACTTTTTAACTTTTTTGTAACTAAAAAAAGAATTTGATGGAAAATTTGCCACGTGTCATTGGAATAAAACACAATACTAGTGTTTACTACGCCAGAATTATAAAACAGGACACGGTTTCAAAAAACAAATCTACAAACTTATAATTTTAATTAGGCTGCAATTTGAAAAAAATTGTAGAATTACAAATTCCTACTGTTGTCTGATGTCTGTCCACTCGGCTGTCTGTCTTTTCTTAATCTCGAGAATGAAGGTAGATGGATGTACCCCGAGACAAAAAAAGAAAAACTTAGGGGCAGAAAGATGCATCGATCAACTATATATGAAATATCGTGAACTTCGGATACAAACCAGAAGTCACGGTATTTCAATTCAAATATTTTCTCTGAAAAGAGTTAGATTGATGACCGGTACGACTCTGTTGCTAACGATGCTCTACAAAGACAAGTTACAACTAATTTCAGGACGAAAACATATATTTTAAATTAAATAAATTTAAATTTGATTAAATAAAGCATATATTTTAAATTAAATAAATTTAAATTTGATTAAATAAAGCATATATTTTAAATTAAATAAATTTAAATTTGATTAAATAAAGCATATATTTTAAATTAAATAAATTTAAATTTGATTAAATAAAGCATATATTTTAAATTAAATAAATTTAAATTTGATTAAATAAAGCATATATTTTAAATTAAATAAATTTAAATTTGATTAAATAAAGCATATATTTTAAATTAAATAAATTTAAAAGATATGATAAAAAATTGCAGCTCGGAATTATTGTGACGATGCCACAATAAATAATTATTCGTTCGGAACAGAAGATTTATTGAAGAAATATATATTAAAGAAACGAATCGACTTCTACGAAAATTTTTTATTAATCACTTTTGGAATATATTTTCATTTGTTTATTAAATATGTCTGGAATAAATATTTTGTTCCGAATTATATATAGCCTATAATATTTAACGTTTAAAATATTTTATGCTCAAACTAGCTGCAAACCGGAATAATCCTTAACGTAAAATATACACAAATTTACTATTAAAAACAAAAGATAAAATTAAAATTTATTTTTTGATTTTGTGCTTCATATATTTACTCGTTAAATAATGTAAGAATTACTATACCTGAATTATTAAAGCGCAGTAAACCTACTTCTTTACAATATGGCTGTAATCTTTCATCTACGCAGTACTTTAAAGCAGTTATGGATCTGCAAGATCAATGATAAAATCAAAGAAGAAATGGCACCGCTTTTATATTACGTTTCACAATTTAAATAAATTGTATGTTCGTGTTATAAATTGTATCAGATCGATAAAGAACATTATAGTTTTATATATATTCAAAACTATAATTTAATATAATTTTAAAGATAATTGTATAATGAAAATATTACCAAAATATAAATTAGAAGAAGAAATTGTTTTGATTATAATAATACAGTTAATTATTTAAATAATCTACTTTTTTTACTTTATAGTCGATTAGTCTGTGTTTTGAACAAAATCCAAGAAACGTTGGATGTGGGTAAAATGATTAACCAACGAAAACGTAGTCCTGATAAAAAAGCGAATACGGTATAGGCCTATGTAAATAGTACTTTGAATGCAGAAACAATCGACGAAGTAATTTGGATAGAAAATCATTTATTTTGTGATTATCTTGACTAGAAAATTAAATTAAATTAAAATATGTTTGTGTGTATGTTTGTTTACATAAAATGGTAAAAATGTATAGTACATAAAATAAAAATTATATATCTATTGTGTATGTATAAATATATATAGTATGTATTTATATATACACAATAGAAAATAGTTAATACAATAACATTTGATTAAGATGGTAAAATATATAAGAAAAAATAATACATACTCAATCTTGGACATTAAATACATTTAATGAATATCATAATATTTAAATCGACAATGTTAATTTAATAAAATCAATATGCAAATTATATATGTGATATTATTATTGCTTTTATAAAAATAAGAATTGGTACATACTCCCAAGTAAGATAGTAATCGTTTAATTATTACGTTTAAGCACAGAACTAATCATATATAAAAACAACAAAAAAGTAGTTCTGATATTTTTAGAAGCCCATTTCTGGAACATTTTGATTACAACTTATTTTTTTTTTTTATTTTCGGCACAATATGAACCGTTCTTATAGCTTACATAAATATCGTTTGATTCGGTTTTTTATTGTCGTGTCAGATTACTTATTCAGCTGTTGGCAGTATGTTAAAATATTGATAAACGTTTAATTTTTAAATAATACGATTAATTCGAATTCACTAAATTCTGTATAGTTTATACTTGTGTTTTCGACAAAAGCATTAATTTTTAAAAATTTTTAATTGTTTTAATTGTTTTTAAACAGTATTCATATACTGTATATTATATATTTTTTAATCTAAGAAAGAAATATATATATTAAATATATTAACTAATATAAATATATGAATTAAATAAAAATACTTTTTTGAAAATAATTCATCTGATAATTTGCTGAAAGTGAAAAGATATTAAACTGAAATTTTTATGTGTCAAAATGCTAATTAAAATAATTTTAATTTGTATTACTCATATATGTAGAATTCCTAAAAGAATTTATTTTGTTTTTACCAATGCGATATACATAAGTCGTCATTTGCATTTATTTTATCTGGGGAGAATTTATTTTTCTGTTCACTTAAAAGTATTAGCAGAAGATTAAGCAGTATTAAATTATATAAATTTTCATTTGAAAATTACGATTTAATGTAAGTCTGTAGTATAAAAATTATTATTTTTTTACAAAAATTCTAGAAATAGTATTGAGTAACTACAACAATACAATTAAAAATATTGAACGCCTGAAATAAATTCGAATAAATCTATATATATA